CTTTTTTTGCACTCTACAAAATTGAGGATATGGTTGCAAAATCTAAATTGACCCCTGTTTGTTGATTTTTACACTCAACCAGATTTACACTCATGGTGGGGTTTTTGGCCAAAAACTGTTTTTGGGTTCCAGCCTTACTAAACTTTAAAGTCGAATCATCTCATAACCGAGCACAAAAGGTGTCGAGTCTCGACTCCGAGTCTCGACTCTGATTTGTAACATTGAAGCTGTCGAATTAAAGCTCCGTTTACTTCGTCATCCATTATGGTAGATCATGATATCGAGATTCGACGCGGTGTGAGGTCGACAGAGATCGTGAGATCGTGAGAATGATTTCCTTCGAAATTGTCTCACAGTCAGTCGAGCTCTCATTGATCATCCCAGCCTATGCTTTTTTCACTTCGTCTCGGCTAAAAGCCCTTGTGAAGCACGATCGCCTGTGAGAAGCTACAAAGAGTAAGATAGAGATTCTTTTCTCCATTTCCTTATAAACCTGCCACGAGTGAAACGTCCATCCCTCTTTATTCTGAATCGATACGGTTCAAAGTCTCCTTTAAGCACAAAATAAACCTTTATAAATCTTTACACTTCTTGCTATTCCTCGAGTCTTCAATTACATAGTTATTCGACATTTTAGCTTCCAAAGAGGGGCGAAGATGAAGAAGATATCATTTTTCGAAATCTTTCGAATCCTTGTCGATCGTAAAAAACAGAGATCCAAATCGAAATCATCATCTTCACCATCTTCTTCCTCTACTTCACTTCAACAGAATCAACTTCATCGACAGAAATCCAAGAAAGCTGGTCATCGCAAGTCAAGAAGATCTACTCTGAAAAAAATAAGACAATCGGCAATTTATCCCCATCAAGATAACTGTCGAAATACTCTCAATACTGCTATTCAACATTCTTCTCTTACTCTTATCGATGAAAGTGCGACAAAAACTTTCGATGAAGTGTTAACCAGTCAATTAACAATTCGGATATATTCTGCTGTAAGTTGATTACCCTTTCTCACACCCTCGGTTTGAGAATGACACAACTGACATTTGGTTCTTGACCATCAATATTCTTTTAGCCAAATGATAGAACCAGGGATTTTATCAAGGTTTATGATTTCGGCCAAAGCGGTGATGATAATTCAAACTTGAGATTGGGTTTAGATGAGGAGGAGGAAGAAGAAGCAGAAGAACAAGAAGAAGAGAAAGAAGAGGAACTCCGATCCGTTCAATCCCATCCATCACTTGCAGTCGCACTTACCGAACCAAACCGACCCAACTCCAATTCTGGCTTATGGCCGAGTTTAAATTCTCCTTTACAAATTCAAGAACCATCAACACCAACCTCATTCAAATCCTCACCAGCAAGTCGATCGACTGAAAGTATGGAAACTTTCTTTTCACCGGAAACAACAGACTTTACTACAATCATTCAAACCATTGTACCATCAGAACAAAATCAAATCCTGAATGCATCACAACAATCTCTTCAAAGCGATGTTTATTCTGCATTAGATGTTTCGACTCCTTTTCTTGACATCCTGTGAAATTCTTTCCTTCATCTTTTTTTAGCTATCTTTCTCTCTCTCTCTTCGTTCTTTCGCCGTTACTTCATATCCTTGTTGTTGTAATCGTTAATGTTCAATATAGCTGTATATATGTCTATCTAGACTATCTGAATTTTGGAAATCTGCAACACATTATCTTTCAAAACAAATTTCAAAACCTCTTAAACTCCAAAACAAAATACAATTACCTTCTTTTGATAAGATTAGATAAATGTCTGTAGATGAATCTTAGTTTTTCTTGATCAGACACATCACTATAACACATTCATTTCTCTTGGGTTACTTGTTTTCTATTTCCAAATAGATCTCTTTGTATCTTTATACCAGCTTTTTCTCGGATTCAAGGATCTAGTAAACAATTTAAAAGAAATCGTTCATTTTATTCAAGATATGAGTTGCTCTGATTCTTGCAGACAACTACTAATTCTACAGTAGCACCAGATAGTGACCTCATAAATCATGCAGCACTTCACAAACACTATGGTACATTATCCCAAGAAAAATGTAATTGATGTGATTATGTCAACGACCCCATTGAATCCTACTGTACTAGTAGTATTCAATGGGGTCGTTTCTTGAATGTACCAGTATGTGAAATTTTTCAAAGTTGAAACACTTTGAACTTGAGCATCAAGTTTACTCATCAATAATGACATCAAAAACAAGTTCACTTGATTCTTTGAAGTATCATTCCCAAGTGATTGTGAATTCTTTCCAGGATTATCAAAGTAGAGATCTCAAGAAAAAGAAAACATTCCAGGATGTATGTAGGTTAAAGTCTAGGAAAACAAAGCAGTCACAAGTATTGATGATTCAACAAACAACCAAATCAAATCCAAACTAATTCCTATCAGTAATCAAGAACTCAAGGCTAAAAAATGAAAATGTTGGACAGACTTTTAAATTTAAATCACTTTGTCAAATCAAATTTTTCATCATCTTTTTATTTGGATTTTTCTCAGTGAGTTCCATAATCAACAAGATTATGCTGGTTCAGATGATGGTTCTGAGCTAGATGAAGTACAAGCAATGAAAGAAGACGTAAATGAACTCAATGATGAGTCATCAAATTCTAGTGCAAAACAAGATTGTGTAAATAGTGCAATTCATGGTGATCAACCGTAAAATTTTCCTCTTTCATAGACTGATTCATGATCCTTGTTCTAGTCAGAACTATACACACTTGAGTTTTTTTATTTTAACCCTTTTTGATCAGCCAATGTTTGTGTCTTGGGATAATTACTTTCAATCTTCTGATTGTGTTTCATGAGTTACCCTGATACCAACATATTATCAATTTATGCAACTTTTCTCTTGGGAAAACATGCCAGTCAATTATCCCAGTCAACAAAAAATCAGACAAAAACACACCAATCAATCATTTATTACAGCTTAACTCACATAGGAGACCTGATTGCTTGCAACCTGATGCTTCATTTTTATTTGCAAACCCAGCTTATGTGAATCAATGTAATTATTCAGGCCCATAATATGAGTTAGATCTCATTTGCAGTTATATCACAGTTTGGAACAAATATGTGATTTATCAATTTGCATTGCATATTGATTAAACATCCTGCACACATCACCTACTTTGTATATTGAATGTGTTATTCTCACTACCAACTTTGTTATTCCGATTTTTTTGGCACAAGAATCCACTGTATTGATCTGCATATCCTAAGTAACTGCACCTACATTTTATCTATAAGCCTTGCTGTTGTTGTGTTTTAATAGACAAACATTTTTGTATGTGGATCACTTTACCACTACTCCTATAATGATAAAATGGATAGAGTACATTATACATGCACACCTGTTTTAACCAAGCAATTAAGTAGTGTACTCATTTTGGGACTACCAAATAAAGTATTTGAAAGCCAAGACCAAATGATACTTGAAGTGCTCTGATTTGAAAACTGTTAAGGGTTTAGGGCCCAGGGTTTAGGGCTTAGGCTTAGGGTGTTAGGCTTAGGGCATGGCTATTATCACCCCACTCCAAGGGCAAACATTCCAAGATCACCATCCTTGATCCCACCAAAAGTAGAACTCATAAGCAGCATGGCCTCTATACCCTGCTCCATTCCTCCCTTTACTATTGATTGCCACCAGAATCTAGCAGGACCAATAAAACATGCCTCCCCAGATCAAATTATGCACAACATGTACAGCAAATCTTTTCTTTGTTATATCCAATGGCTTCAATTGGAAATCTTCAAGCACCTCAAAGGTTTTATCATAATTTACACAAGTAGCATTATTGGTGTATTGTATTAAAAGATATTTTTGGTTCTTCTCTGGGAAATCCAAAGAGCCTCAAAAATTGTTTTCATAGCTCAAAACAGGCATGGTATTCAGAATCTAGCATCAGTGGAGTTATTCATTAAGGATCCTGGTAACTTGTCCCACTTCAGATCTGAATTGAATCACACTAAAGGATTGTTAAGTGTTGTAAATTTGTATCTAATCTCCTTAATATTGAGTTCCAATCAGTGTCTAGGCTTCATCTTTAGAGGAGTCTGCTGTCAAAATCCACAACAACCCAAGTGAATAGAAGTTGAAGTATCTTATTCAGATCCTGTGAACTACACCTCAGACTCAGTGATGGATTCATAGCAACCACAATAGCAACTTAATTTGGAAAAACAATATACTTAGGCTGGAATTGTGTTCCTCATGATTTATAAATTGATATCAGTTGGAGTATGAAATAGATTCTACTGCATTGTAATGAAACACATTGCCCCTGAACAGGCTTTCCTCCTTGAGTGCTATTTGAGCCAGCATACAGCCTTCAGCATTCTACATAAATTGACCTAAGATAATCCCTTGTTCTGAGTGTGGTTCCTGCCACCAAATTTGGCTAGTCCTTTTGAACAACACCCAAGGTTCTATATGAGATGTTTCACCAAATCCTAATACTATATACAGTCATTTAAGAAAAGCTTGTTGAATTTTGCCCGCAAAACTCCAACAATGTGAGCCTACTAGCGTCTGTTAGGCTATTAGAGTCAATATAAAGGTTGTAGAAAGTCTAATAACTTCTACTAAGGTTGTGTAGATCAAGATCTACAAGTGTGAACGGGTATAGACGTGGGCGTAAGAGCTTTACTTGCAATAAACAAGTAAAGACTGCAGTTAGTTGACCTTTAAACAAAGGCTTTAGCCCAGGGATTTTGGGTTAATTATTGTCTTTACAATAATTAAAAAGGAGAGCAACTGACGCGCAGTTCTCAATCCTAATTTGATCCTCTTCTATTCTAAGAAAGGTCAAAGAAGGTAGTGTTAAGGTCTATTATAACACCGGGAACTTTACACTCTGACTAATAGAGATTTCCCTGTAGATTTAGAGTTTCTTATATCAGATGAATCCCAAATCTGATATGAGCAATACTCAAGGACTACTTCCTTACAAGTAATTCCACCAAATGGATATTACCAGAAATACTGATTATGGAGTCTAATCAGAAACAAAGTTGAATGAGCACACAGAATAAGCAACAAGACACAAGGTTTGAGTTTCAAGGTTCGTAGAATCAGGCCTTTAAAGTTTGGTTATTGAAAAGCAAAGTTTAAAGGTTCTAGGAAGATGAATAAAAGCAAAGTTGTGTAGTTGTTGAATAATAATGTGATGATGTCATTCTTCTCAATTTGGTTGGATTTCCAGGGCTTATATAGTCTGAACCTTGGAAATCTTTGGACTCCAAGTGCGCACAAATTGTGGTTCTATGGTTAGGTTAATTACAGTAAGACAGTTACTATTGGATTATAAGTATATTTCACTTGTTACATATGTGTTACGGCTGTGAAATATATGTAGCTTTGGTTTGCATCAAAGTTATGTATGTTCACACCCTTTGATGTAAGTTCTGCACATGTTACATATGCTAAATCATATGTAACTTGACTCTTCGAAACTGAGCCTTGAGTTGTAATTGCTATTTTTAAGGTTTTCATTATAATACGTCGCCCATTGGTACTCTGGTTTAGTACTCAGGGCTGACATTCCCCACCACCAGAAAAGGTCATACGCCTTCTCAAGGTTTATGATCTCTTTTTGATGCTCTAAATGTGTGGAGTCATTACTTCATTATTACCTTTATTTTTCTGTATACACTTCCCTGCATGAAGTCCTTGATCTTAGTGTTGGGACTCCATCTCAGATTCACTATCCTCATATTCTACAAATTCCATTGTATCTCCTGCTCCTTCATTTTCATCTTCTTGTCTATCTTCCTCTTCTTCAACTGCATTTATGGCTGTCCCTTTCCCTTTACATGTTCCCCAAACATGCTGAGGATCTGTACTGCCACAGGTATTGCAAGACTTACTACTTTTCCTTTCAGTAGTAGGATGTTGAGCTTTTGTACTGCTTACTTGGTGCTCCCTGTGGTCATTATTTGACTGAGAGTGATAATTATTTGTCTGTGTTCTTCCACCAGGCATCAAACTTTTAGCAATATCTTCAAAAGCTAGAATGAAATCTGTCCAACTACTATCCGGACCAATTCTATTTTGCACCGGGATTCTGATTGTGCTGGGTAGCTGCCAAAGTAATTTTTCAGCTACTTCAGATGAGTCTGCATTTGGTCTAAATGATCTAAACCGCTGTTGTTGCCTTGAAGCCCATTTAACACAATCAGAATGGATTTCTGGTTTGAATCTGTCTCTCATGAATAGTCTCTCCATATAAGACCTCCATTGAGCATTACCAAACCTGGTCTGAATAGCTTGTTTCCATTCCTCCCAAGTTTTATTATGCCCACCGTCTTCTTTCATGACGTCCATAACCCATTGTCGAGCTACACCAGTAAAAACAATTGATAATTTTGATGTGATCAAAATATCTGGCATTTGTAAGCGCACTGGTACTGCGTCAACCCAGTCAATAAACTCTTGGTGATTGTACTCCCCTTCCCCGCTAAAGGTAGGCCAATCCTTGACATTAGGATATTCTTTCCTTAGTTCTTTTCTGATTG